CGTCCTGCTTCAGGCGGTTCACTCCACCTAGTTTTTCAGTATAATCAGCCGCTTTTGACAAACACAGGTGTTGAAAAAGTGTTTGTGGAAACTCGGTTCTCCTCGCCGCCTTCCAGAAGTTCCGACGGAGCTCCGAAGCTCAGTCATAAACGATAAACGATAAATAAATTGGCTGACTACGCTACTGTCACTGATGTAACTCAGGTACTACATATAGAAGTGCCTCGTCAGCTCTTCGAAATACATAGCCACTATGAATGTGACTGCAAATGCCGCAAATGTCTAGCCAAATCAAACACACGCTCAGCCTTTCCGACCATTGGATTCGTAATATGCTTGTACATCCCCCAGATTTGCCCTGCCAAACGAATACTTGCAACGTGCCACGCGTGCGCTATTTTTGTCGCCAACACAGTGGTTATTTGATCTGCTGGTTGAATCGCAGGTACAATTCTCAAGTAATAGCGAGTCTCGTGCAAGGGCCACACCGAAGCGTCGTCCACGAACAAGCGCCGTGCGGAGTGTAGATAAACATCCGTTGTTCGAACAGTGGTTTTTGCTTCACAGAGAAGCATGGAAGTTATATCAACCACTTCCTGCGACGACTTGTTGCGCGTTTCGCGAAACGACAACACTTGGCAAATAGATGATGTGGTGTTTCCAGACACTCACACCTGAACTGGCACCACGGTGATATGCTTCCCATATGGGCAAATCGCACACTCGCAGAGTCCAGTTGGCGTGATCTCGCATAGAGCTGTACCAGTGCTGAGTATGCGTACGACGTCCGCACGTAAGGATGATCCGGTGGCGCATGCAAGTCATAAAGAGGCAGCGCGAGGGTATGACCAGGTACGAAGGTCGGATCAGCTGCAGTGCGTTTGGAGAGTATGCGAGTAAGCAAGGATGGCAATGGGATTTCAATGAAGGGGAGTATAAAACAAACCTGTCCGATCCAAACGGAGCATACGGTATGGGATAAGGTTGAATGACCTGAGAGTGAGAGTCATGAGCAATAGCATCCACTAATGCATTCGCTCGTGCTGGCAAAGACGATGAGTCGGTGTGTGCTTTGACATGGAGAGCCGGTGGGTTGGGAGACGACGAGATGATGTTAAGTTGATGACTGTGTGCATTAAGTAAAGCGTCTGACAGTCCTGTATTGTTGGCAATTCTTTCCTGATACGTCTCTAGTATTGTTCACGAGTCGTGTTTTTTATGTATATTGAAGTCGTGGTATTTGACGAAAAAGTCAGCTACCTAAAAGTGCTGTCGTCACGGTGATCGTAATGAAATGCTTAGCTGGTAGCGATGAAGCTTGAAGCCGTGCAGCCATCTATGCTTATGCAGTTGTCTGCGCTTCCACAGTGCATTGCTGTACGAACTATTGGGCATTTGGATACGGGTGCGGGACGCTGGCCTAATACTACATGGAGGACATGGAGAGGATACCATGCGAGTGAAAGGTCACTGAGTACCAAACATATGGTTCAACGTGAATACGACACGCACGACTTTATGCATCGTGCACAGCATGTCGATTGTGTAGGGCTGGCAATGAGTTCGAAGATATATGATGATCAGTACGAGAAGACAGAGGAGGCGCGTTTGAAGGCACTAGTTTACGAAGTGAGGCAGAGACTCTTGGAAGTCATCGGATCCAATTCTGCTTGGAGCAAAGAAAGCACTGAGTGATTCTGCTATCGACTACAAGGGTACATGCCTGGACTATATACTTTCGTGAGTGGCTCAAGAGCCAAGCTGAGAATACGTGAACGAAGGAGTGAGGCGAAAGGAGACAAAGCTGAGCGCTGCCCATGTGCAACGAGGCGTGACACATGATGTATGTGAAAATGTGAAATGTGAAAGTGTGAAATGTTATGCAAAGTCAGAATGTATTTGCATGTCTCGAATGTGAAAGGTAGAATCTCCACGCACCGACGATACTCGGAAATAGCTTGCGCCTTTGATCAGAAGTGTTAGTTTGCGGCGTAGAGGATAAGGAGTCCTTACAATTATGGCGAAGATCACATACCACTTATGCCACACAAGATGAGCACGCATCAGACTATCTGGAGCAGACTGAAGAGTTGTACGTGACTCAAGCTCGAATATTATGCATGAATTAGATCCTAAGATTGTAATCAAACATGCATGAGGTATATATTATGCCAGTGCATGCCTGCCCTTCCAACGAGCGGGCCGACCGAGTGCCCCTTGAACGAGCCGCATAGCAGGCCGAGTCTCTCCAGGTAATGCAACACCTGCACGGGCTGGCAAAACTGGGAAGCTGCCCACAAAGTTGGGGTTCCCTCGTTTCCGAGCTTTCTCCTTCTCCTTGGAGTCAGCTCGAAGTTGCATTTTGGCTTCGGCGACCGGCTTGGCCAAAATGGTTTCCTGCGTGTTCGCATATAATCAGGATGAAGAACAGTGACAACGATTGAGATCTTACAATATAAGCTGAAGCCTTGGCACCTATTTCTGTTAATGCCTCTCGTCCTCGATATTTCATGACTTTCTGAAGATTACGCCTCGTCGTTGGCCGCAGTTCACCGCTGTCAAGTCCACCCAAGTTCAGCTCTTTTGCAACGACAATATCTGCGTTTTGAACACCGCTGTTGACGACACCGCGGGGTGAGTCCCACCGAAGCTTTTCATTCAAGAGTTCCCGCCCTACTGCGCGTGCAGTCATCTCCAATTTGAAGTCACGGGGATTGTCGACGAGCTCAAGGAGAGCAATGGGTGCATTGTCTCCGAATCGATTATCGAGCCTATGGATCCGCGTGTAGCCTCCTGGCCTGTTTGCATAACGCTCGGCAAAGGTAGTGAAAAGCTTAGGGAGGACAGGAGGTTTCAAGATGAATGCTTGAGCCTGGCGATACGAAGTCTCGTTGTTCTTCTTCCCCAGCGTAATGATCTATTAACGCGTGAGCAGACTGCAAGAGATAAAAATGTGGTCTTGCCTTCTCTGCCAGCCTGGCAGTGTCTTTGGCCTTGGGTAATGTTGTTCTAATCTGCTCGTGTTCGAAGAGGGAAGTCACAAGATTCCTATGGTATTTTCAACGCCAGTGTAACCAAAATGAACTGGTTTACCCACCGTAACATTAAATTCCGATGCGAGGATGTCCTCGAGAATTTTCGAAAGGCTACTCCATGTTTCATAGCTGCCTAAATTCGCAACTTATTCAGTGACACGAGAGGATGTGGCAAGTTGCAACCGACGTATAGTGCCGCCTAGTACATACGCACCGAAAATTGCTTACACGTGATCTGATAATGAACAACAATATGTATGTATAACAGCAGGTACTTATACGTGCATAGATTTATCGTCCGTGAGTATGTGTACTACAATGTGCTGTATGTAACGCATGACAATGGGAGCGACGAGTTTTTACGAGAGGGGAAGAGGGCAAACACGAGCATGAGAGCGAGGCAAGAAGGCGAAGGGAGAAGGCGAGAGAAAGATATGAACACGTGTGTAAGAGTTTTGGACGGAAGGAGACGAATGCACAGGCGGGTAAGAGCAGAGTATCAGCACGTTGTACCGATGGTGTGAGACTATGCACGAAACAGAGTATGGCTGAGACAGTATGCTGACAACAGCAAGACAAGAAGTGGCGAGGTGGCGGGACATGATACATATGGTACGCGTGTGCGAATAGAGACGCAGGTTCAAGTTTTGAGCAGTCTCCAATACGAAAACAGACACAGAATTGTGTGTATGCCAAATTACTCCTCTTGCTGCTGCTGTTCTCTACCGACCCTCCTCTCCTTCTCGCTCTCGAGCTGATTATAAAGCAGGAAAAGGGCCTTTTCGTTGGCCTCCGGAGTACCGACGATGGTAAACATCCGTTCGCCTGTCTCATCATGTGGAGCTTTGGCAATGGAAATCTTGGATCCTGACAACCGCCGAATTTCAGTAATCTTGCTTCCACTTCGACCAATGATACATCCAACCATATCCGATGGTATGGAGATGTTCTGTGTGCGCAGGTTGGCTGTGGACTGTGCAACGGTAGGTGAATGGGGCGAAGGTGGTGGTGAACGTCGAGCTACATCTCCATTGGACTTGCGAGCTCCAGCCGAATAGCCATTAGCTGATCGTCTCGTACCTGAGGTGGCATCACCAGCACCAGGATGGAATGGAACGGTGCCCTGACCCCTCTCCCAATCTTCCAGTAAGCACTTGCCAATCTCCTCGATGGCACGGCCGATCGAATCAGGTGCGCCTTGTACCTCGACAATGCGCTCAGTTGATTGTGGAAGCATCTCCTTTGACGCCACCATGCGCGCGCCCGAAGCATCCTGAATAGCCTTGATTTTGCCACCGCTGCGGCCTATTATTGTACCCATAAGATTGTGAGAAATTAGAAGACGGATTGAGGTATGAGGCGATGATGATGATATGGAGATGGGTGATGGGCTGGATGCCACAAGTTGGGAGATTATGAGGTTGTACGCCTGAAACATGAGCCACAACGTGTGAGCGCTAAATCGAGTATATATTTGAGTTGACTTGCCTTTGCAACGGCTTCAACAGATCCGCCAACGGTAAGGACGCGCTCGTGCACGCCAGGGATAACCTTACTGACGCCAGCTCTGACGCCAGTCTGCTCACGAAGATCAGCGACATTTTTCCCGCCTTTGCCTATGATTACGCCAGCTTCCTTTGTGTTAACAAGAGCACGAAGAGTCAATGTGTCATGAGCATTATCTGGAGAAGATGAACGTGATCCTGGGGGAGAAACTGATGTGACATTCAAATATGAGTTGTAAAGATCACCCCTAGATAAAAAGATGAGATTACCAGAGGCGTGTCGAACTGGAGACTCAGCAGACATTGTGAGCTGAAAGAAAGGGGGGAGAGAGAAGTGAAAGGGGATGGAGATGAGGAAACCGAATTATTTAAATGATGATGATGGAGGTTAAGATGCAAAGAAACGAAACTTATTAACAAAACTTGCCACCGTCGTCGATGCCTTTTTCGGTGCCGCTACCGTCCGATCACACAGCCACATCTCATATGACGTTTAAGGCCGTCTCTCCCAAACTGTTGCCAAAGTCAATTATTATCCTTCAATTTGTATCATATGCATGCCTAAAACTACATCTCTGTTGCAAGTGTTTTTGGTGGAGGTTCATCGTCATAAAAAAACGCCAGCTCAGCAGAGATCGCATAGTTACATGCATGTCTTATGGGAACCATCATAACATAAAGTAACGCAAGCACATAGAAGGTGAAGTAGTCTCTCATCCAACTAGTACCCCAGCGTCGTCAGTTTCTCAAAGGATGGCGAGGCATCCGAAACTGCCTTTTGGCGCAACTTCAGTGCTGTAATCTATGTATCATGTCTGAGTCAGTCTTGTTCAATGAAGCTTGCCCAGTTCACGTACCTTGCGCTGGTGGAAGGCCTCAGCCTTAATCTTCCTCTTCTCCTCAAGACGGTCCACAACATCCTTGTAGCCCCAGCCAACCTCGTGCGACAGACGCTAAATCACACCCTGTTTATCATCCAAGTCATACGACTGAGCGACTGAGCCCACCTTAACGGTACAGTATTTCCGGCCGGGCTTCAACCGCAACACACGCAAAGCCTCAGGAACAACCATCCGCTTTTTGTGGTCGTATGGTGGTGGAACACCTTCGAAGAGCTTCAAGCGCTCAAGAGCGGTGGCACCCCGAGGAGTCTTGTGGGGAATCATACCACGAATAGCACGGAACAGAATTTTGGAAGGAGCACGGTGATGGAAAGGCCCAGATTTCCTGGGGTTGACAATATGGCGTTTGTGGAGGAAGTTGTGGTAGCGTAGCTAGATGTTTAAGTGTATGCGTCTCGTTCTTTGACTGGTTTAATGAAATGACCAAATACCTTGTTGCGGAAGAAGCTGCCGGAGATGTTGATCTCCTCACACCTCACGACAACAATCTTCTGGCCAGAGAGAATCTGCTTGGAGATTATTGAGGCCAGTCGACCAAGGAGGTGACCCTTGCCATCAATAACGATGGGTGTCGATGAGAAGGTGGCCATTACAAAGTCTATCAAAACGCGCCGGATTCAGCTTTGAAATTAGCGACATGAATATTCCGTGCTCACCTAGGGGATAGAAATACGTGTTCAGGAGCGTCTACACGGCGGATAGGATTCTTACCTTGAAGGTCTTGAGGTCGTTGTCGAATGTGGGAACTTGCAAGTCTCAGCCACTGTGACCAGAACTATGCAGTTCCTTTCGGCAATCTCCGAGCTTTCGATTGAAACTTTGTTTAAACGTTCATCACAGACTTTAACGTTTGCTAAAAAATAATCAAGTAACTATCACTAGTGCGCGTCGGGAAGTTATCATGCTCTTTCTCTTTCGCAGGCTCCATCACCAGCTATGTTCCAGGTATAATATTCTGATAATAAAATACTCCCGCTTGGCCCGTGGGGCACTTTATGCCATAGCGACGGAATCATTTGCTGAGGCGGGATACACAATTACGTTAGCGGGATACATTAAGACACGCGTCCAGTAGGTCTCCTATAAACATGTGCGCAGTGGACTCGATAATCGGACGTTCAACGTTAGTTGAGGGATCCATTGATACTGTCATAACTTGGCCAGCAAGCTCGGCGAGTCATACTTTGCTGCTTCCCTTGCAATCCACTCTGCTGTCCCGTACTCCGTTATCGTCCATGCCTTCTCGGCAATCGCATGTTCCTTCCAATAAGCAACAATTCTTGGGCGAGTCATTACTGCTATCCATAATTGCCCGCACAACGGAAAATTCCCTCCAGGTACCAGCCCCCGCTTGACAGATGGAAACAGTTGCGTTATAAATGTGATGGCTGCTGCCACTGTTGCATGAAGCGCAGTCAGTGGTCCCATCTCTTCTGGCACTACTCGCATCTCCTTCTGCAGTTCTCCGAGTGCAGCTTCTGTGTTGCGCAGGTATCGTACAGTGATGGCTTTCCAAATCTTATCTCGTGATGGTGGTGCTAGCCAATCCTGTGGTTTTTATTTCTCAGCTCACTTCTATGAGTCACAGTGGCTTTAATTACCTCTTCCCCACTCAATTGCCATACTCTGTTGGTGAAGAACAAAGATGCTTCCTTGATCATCTGTGTGCGTGCACGGGTTTGGAGTGGGAGGTCGTCATTCAACTGCCGGATGATCGATGCTTTAGCGCTGGTGCAGTTTATTCACGGACACACAAGACTTACCGTAGTTCCTGGCAGTGTTAGGATCTCCTCAAGGTAAGACAGGATAGCTGAAGTCTCGCCAAGCAGAAATTCGCTTCTTTGTTTAGAGCTTTTGTCTGTTACTCGGAGAATAGGTACGCCACCGTATGGAAACATCGCAGGCGTAACTTGGCCTGCCTTCTTCATTTCTACCCACTTCGCATGGGGAATTTCTTCGTACTCAAACTGGGTTCCCGAATCTGCGAGAATGAGTAGAACTGGTTCACATCGTGCTCGCACGGGAAAATAGGTGATGTGGATGTGGTATGTAGATGTGGATACCATGGAAGTTACGAACACTCAACCGAACTCGAACCTTGAATAAATAGGCGAGAGCGGTTTCCGATACCCTTTTATTACTCGGACCTTCCTCGGTTCCTTCAATCCATGAGCAAACAAGGTACTGACACCCTCACGTCATTCACACTAACAAGACCCGGATTCTTCCCTACATGTTCCGTTCTGAGGATTGGGTAGCGCCTAAGTGTGCTTACATATAAATATGACCAATGGCTACTAAAAACTCACCGATGCATGTTACACATCACTGACAGAAATATGGTCACGTACCGGACGCTCCCTGTCCATGCATAACAGTGACAATACGTTTGACAGTTGTTGATACCAGTCATCATCAAACATGTTGATCACAAGTCAATTGACGTGCAGAGTCCAGACAACATTGCTTCACAACATTGTTTCATACGGTTATAGAAAAAAAATGCAGTTGTATAAATGAGTGGGGGCGCGTAAAGGAGCTGGCTAATGGCTGTGCTACCAATCCTTCACTGAGCTACAAAGAAGGTCAGTAAATACATTGCAAAGATAAATGATGTCCTGACCTTCTGGTGTCTTTGCAATATAGTCGATAGCTAAAGGACGTTTACAAAGTGTTAGTGGACAGCCCATATAAAATGGGCAACGGAAGCGCACCTTGCTGTACGGTTTTTATCTCATCGGCTTCCGCATCCGGAATCTCAATGGCAAACTCCTGTTGAAGTACGTGTTGATGGAATTCTCTGTGAATATAGACGTGGCCACGCACCTCCTCTACCGCCATAACCACCTCAACCGCATCTAAGCTGTCAAGCCCGAGATGATCCGTGAATGAAGACGAAGTTGTGAGCTAATACAGAGTGCTGTTAACAGGAAAAGAGGTGTCATCGGGGCAAACATTCAGACCTTGGCTGCGTCCACTTTCTCGAAGCCCTTTAGTACGTCCAGTACGCGTGTCTGTATGGTTTCCTTCGACAACCCTGCTGCTGCCGCCGAGTAGTTCGCACGAAATACCCAGGTCTGTCTCGAGGACGACGCAAGCACGGGTCGTGCACGAGTCACACTGCGAAGGGTAAGGCGAGTGAAAGACATGATTTGCAAAGGCAACGTTTTACAACTTGGAAGGAAAAGTCAAAACGTCCGGCTTTGGCCGAAGCGGCTAGACTGTAATCACGTGGACGCAAAACGCGCTTTTGATTTTGATTTTTTGTGATAAGTCTGAATTGATCGTCATGATTCCTCTACCTCACCGGCAATTCGAAGCTGGCTCGTCTCGTCTCCCTCAGAATGCACACCAGCACGAGGATGCTAATCATTCTGCGTATGCATACGCATCCTCCCAGGCTGCGATGGCCGGAAACGCCATAACAGCGGCATTAGCTAACCCGTATGCTCAGCATGGAATGTCTCCTCATTATTATCAAGCATATATGCAGGCCATGCAGCCTCCGATAAATGCGCAAGGATATACCCTATCGTCGACTTACATGCTTCAACACACCAGTGGAAGTGCTCCGCGAAATGTATCCCGTGAAGCTAGCAATAATGTCCCTGCGCGGACTAACGATAGAAGGCCAGACTCCACCAGTGGCCAAGCGTATGCTAGTTGGTACCAGCATGGAAACTGTCGTTGTACTCGTCAAGGTTGTGTCTTTACTGGTTCTAAGAAATCAGTCGAGATACATATGATGGACCGCCACTTTATCTTTCCCCCTGGATGGCAGAAAAAAGACGAATGGGATACCGACCCAAGTCTAAAAGGGTAGGTTTCACTTGAATTCCGTCCACCTGGTGACTTTGAATTAATTCCTAGCTTAGCAAACCTATTGCGATTCAGGGAACATCTTTAATCCTCGACTCCCAAGAGGCGATCAATGGTTGGATAGCAGAGCGCAAGAACCGGTTTCCTACTACACAGAAGGTGGAAGACAAGAAGAGGAAGCTTGAGGAAGCCATCGCGAGAGGCCAGCTGACACCTGAAGACATTGGCTTACAAGCGAGAAGGAAGCGGAGAAGGGATGATTCGTCATTTCGGGGTCAGCAACCAAGGGGTCGAGGGAGGGGTAGAGGAATGGGTCGTGGCAGTCACACTAGTTTCATTGTCTCGAGGACTCCAGATACATCATCACCGATGAAACCTCAAGCAGCACCTCTTTCCTCATCAATTCCTACGGAACAACAGGATAGATCTGATCTAGACTCTAGTTCGGATGATGGTGCTCCCGAAGTTGTGTCTTCTAAGCGTCCTCCAGCTGCAGAGGCAGTCTTGGTCTCAACGCCACAGCTCAAGCAAGAACTGCAATCACAGGCGCCACCCAAACCCATAAAAAGGCCACCTCAACCTCAACCCAAGCCCCCGCCGCGAAATCCATTCGCGTCACGACCTACCTTGCTTAGGAGTGTACGTAGTGCTTGTGTCCATTATCTGTTGAGCTGCGAGTTGATATATTTCATCTAGTTGCTTCTTCCTGAAATTCGCATCACCGTATCAAACCTGTCTCAAGCGGTTCGATTTTTGGTTGACAACGACTTTCTGCGAGGAGTAGAGATGAAGCCCGGCGAGGCGCAGCAGAAAATGATTGAAGTACTGGGCAGCACTGGACCCCAACTTCAAACCGCTCTCTCAGATTCGAAGTCCCAGATGACTGTCCTAGAGTAGTAATGATATCATTGGCCAAAGAACGGGAGTAAGTAGGGATGTTGTGTAGGTTCATCGTATAATTATCGTTCATCGTCCTGAGTCGCTCTCACTATCACCATCGCTCTCACTTCCACTCCCATCCTCATCGGCTTCGACCTCCAACGTCCGTTTCTCAACTTCGAAGCCATAACCAGTCAATCCGGCCGCAATCTCGTCTGCCTTGGAAGGTGCGGTGACCACTGTTACCATAGATCGCTTCGAGTCGAACACAGGCAAAATATGCTTCTCCAGGGCAGCAAGTACATCAGCCTTCGTCACTTCCTGGTACTTCTCTAACATCTGCAGGCTGTGGTCTTGGGGAACTCCTCTAAGAGCTTGGTTAGTAAAGGAGTTAATAGCCTATGACCACTGTTAGCATGATTCAAAGCTCGAATAAACACACGTACAGCTCGGCCAGCCGTTGCGACATTCTTGGTGACGCCATAGACAATGCTGCTTTTGGCTGCATCAAGAGCGGTTTCCTCCAGTGCCACCTTGCTTTGGATCAGTAAATACTATGATCAGGAAAACATAAAACATACAGTTCCATCAACTAGTCCGCTAACGACCTCTTTTGCTTGTTTGAATGCTTCCAGACTGTTGGAACTCTGTAAGAGCATCAGCAAAAAAGTTCACCGTTCGCCCAAGAGCCGCATACCCGGTAGAGGGAGAATGTGAGCAAGCCAGCTTCTCTATCTACAGTTATGTAGGCGCCATACGCAAGACCTGAGCCTCGGATAGAACGCTACACATGTAATAAGTAAGATTCGGTTCCGCTCACAATGTGTTCACCTACCCAGAGGAAGCTTTCTGTGGCATTGAGAACCTCGAGAGCTACCCGGAGAGCGGGGAATTCAGGATGATCGAAGCCTCGTATTGCTTTCGTAGTGTGGTTGACGAACGAGCTTTCGATCGTTGGCAAGCTGACCACGGTAGCCTAAGAACAGTAACCGGTAAGAATGCTGCAGAGCCGTAAAATAAAACCTCTTTGCACCTTCGTTGCAGGATTTCTACCCAATTCACTAAGCGTGTGGCTCGCAAGCTTCAACGGAGCAAGTTTGGATTCCTGCGTGATCATGAAATGATGCCGCCGATGCTAGACAAAGAAACACGTACCGGTAGAAGGTCCCCAAAGTGTTTAGACCAGACGCTCCTTGGCTTGGGTATGTCCAAAACGTTACCCGTGACTGATATCCGTACTCCAGTGGGATCCGTCACTGGTCATATTGTGAATGAATGCCATGTCATGCTTTCATGATACGTACAGTATTTCCTCAGTTCCTCAAAGTCCGCGACCACTGTATCAGGATCCTCTTGAAGGTTCTGGATAAGTTTCGGCACAAATTCTGATTGGGGAAGGATGGCGCCAGCGAGCGACGTCGAGCTCTTATCGTAAAGCATCTCGGCCCATACAGAGGACAGAACATTGTTTCCATCACGCTTGAGTTCCGGAAGCGACTGCGCCAGCTTGGCAGCAGAAATCTGCAGTCTATACCGCATGAGACATAAAAACTAGACGAATACCACGAGACCCTACCTTTCCTTGTCAAATATCGAATTGTATACGAGATCACGTAACCATGCGATGGCTGATTCGTATTGGGATGTCTCGACCTTGAAGCTGACGCGCATTAATTCGGAAAATTGGTCAGATATACCGAGAACAGCCTCATACGAGACTGTCCCATCGTCGAGCTGGTTGACAACCTCTTCATGGCTGAGTACCTCTCCTGAAGCGCGTTGCACAGGGAGCGAGAAAAATACCGAGAGATAAGTCGAGAGGTAGGGCCGTAGCCTATTAGGCAACTTGGCCAACGAGAAGAAAGCATGGACAGCAACGAAGTCGGACTGGACAGTCTTGAGCGTCATGATCAAAGGGAGATTATGAAGCCTTTACCTTGACATGGTCGTATTGTACGAACATAGAAAGTGGCGACCCATCAGACTGGATGTGCTTGGAAAGCTGAGACTGTCTAGAATTCTGCACAGCACTTGACCGCCCTTTTCCAGGCTCTTGAACGCACTGAACAGGTATCCAGGAAATACTCTTCACATCCGGAACAGGGAACGACGTCAAAACGTCAGTCGGTATTGGCTTCTCATGTTCAGCTTTTGCAGCTTCCAACACCCGCTCTGCATTGATAAGACCATCTGGACCCAGCGTCTCCCGCTGAGTAGCAAGGCGAGCCTTTTCATCCTTCTCGAGTTTCTCTGCCAGAATTGCAGAAGGTTTGCCAATGACGACAACGTAAGGGCGGTCAATAATGTACCTAACGGTGGTTGAGCTATGTCGAGGTCATCATATATCATGACTTACTTGCGCACGAGATCCACCCATTGTGAGCTAGTCCATGTCCGTAAAGTCCTGTAATGATTGATTTCATCTAGGGCAGGGTGCATGTCCGAACCATCCGCAGCACCGTACAAGAAGTCACTTATGATGGCGCCTGAAAAGGTGTCACCTTTAGCTGACTCCAATTTGCTGCGAAGCTAGGTGGCGTCAATAACTTCAATGTTTGGTCACGGCCTGGTGGTGCCAACCTACCTGGCGTTCATCCCGGTTGATGACCATAGACATTCTCGTCATATCTATACCATCCAAGGCAATCTGTTTGAAACTTGCGACAAGCTTCTCATCGAAGTTATCCAACGCTTCGACAGGGACTGAACCAATATAGATCGGCAGATCAACCATTGTCGCACGAGTGTCTTCGCTAAAGTAGATGTACGAACTTACAAGGAGTGTCATCAGTCTAATACCGCACCGAATTATGAACCAGATACTCACCAGAGCGGTGACTCGATTTCGATGTACTCCTTGTTCAAAGGGGCAACAGGCGATGATGTAAGGTATGTAGCAAGAATGTCTAAAGCCTGCGAGATTGTAAGCTCCAAATCAGAAGGTTTGTAAGACCACAGACTTTTCGCTCTACGAAGTCGTTGGGCGAGGGACCAGTATAAATGATCAAAAGTTCGCCCTGGCTCTCGTCCTTCTCAGGAAACTCGACGGTTTCCTTCGTGATTTTCTTGATGGGAGAACGGTTGGCACTAGCGGTCTCTAAGAAGGGTCGTTTCCAACCGCTCGGGCGGGGGCCATGGTTTTGACCATGTGAAATGATACTAGGTTCAACCTTGTCCTGCACTACAGCCAACAAAGACTTTGTTCCGGTAGAAAGCTTTCCGGTAACGATCAAGGACAGATTATGCGGAACATAGTAAGTGGCGTGATAATCCCTGACTAAGATCAGAAGGACGTTAGTGAAGGATGGACGCCAAGAGGGATTGATTCACTTTGCTCGACAGAGAGTGCCCTAAGTGCTGACATGAGTCCACCGGTTTCGCTACGATAGGCACTCCCAAGGGGGTACAAGAGACGCTGTGAGCTGAAAGGTGAACATGAGCAGTAAAAACAATGGTATAGCATAATAACGGACCGAAGGCCCATAAGATCGCCCGACGTATTTTCGCGGCCCTGCATTTCACTGTACACAACACCACTATTCTCGCCCTTTGCATTAATGTGGTGAACCTAATCACGGCGCGCGTGTCAGTATGTCCGCGAACAACAGCTTTGACAAACTGCCGACCTCAGTCAAGAAGGCTGCCTTGGTCATCGTGGGATAGAGGATGTGATCCACATATATCGGTAAAAGTTGGAGGAAGCCCTGCTCTCCAGCAGTTGAAGCGGTATACGCTGGGAGAAAAGGATCGATGGATGGAAGGAATACGGCACTTCAGAAAAGACTTACCAGTATGATCGGTGTCTGTCCATGCATTGGTTCCATGAGAAAACCCGCGATTCGCAAAATGATCTATGATGCCTTTGTATGGGTATTTTTCCGAACCCATGAAGACGAGACTTCCAGAAATATTAAGCTACATTTGAAAATCCATTGGACACTCCACTTACTGCTCTAAAGTGTGCGGGCAGCCGCTGTCATCGAAGACTGTCACGAAGTTAGCCCCGGCGTTAGTCACAAGATGGAATGACACCGACTTTCGGTACCCACAACGAAGTAACCGTTGACGATAGGCGCTAGCCAGAATATTAAGAATAGGTCGAACAAGATGACACGATGCATACCTTCATAATCGAGATGCACAATAGTGAGACCAGTAACACGGCTCTGCCATCTTGATACGACGACGTCAGTATAGTCTAGCTTGACACGTTTGATCAGGTCGAAGTTGCCATAAGCATCAAAGTTATCGTGCGGGGCAGCTGAACCATTTAGAGACTGAGGTGACATCGATGAGATGGATGATTGGAAGAAGCGGCAGGGGGAAAGGAAGGGGAGATTGCGATTAGCGCCGGTTTGCAGTTGGACCGATAGGTTTGATAGTCCGATGCGTCTCCGAGAGAGAGCCCTTGTACAAAGCCGGGACGCCGTTAACAGTCGCCGCTGCATTCACTCAATTCGAGATTTTTCTGAGCGGAACAGTGCTCTTTACGTCAGCACTTACTTGGGTCCAATTTTATACTGCTCACACACTGGCATGTGACTACAAATGACGCTGTCTCCTGCGTTCTCTCGCGCCTGCTCTTCAAGGCCACTCATGGAGACGAAGCGTGTGTTTGATTACAAGCCAACGCCTGAGCAATTGGCTCTTGCGGAGGAACGACGTAGACAGCGCGAAGCAAAGAAATTGCAGCAACAGAATGCCCAGAATCAAGCTCATCTCCCTCCAATGTTTCTTCCAAGGCTATGGAAATCTTTGCCAAGCACTCAGAGTGCACCTCGGTCCACTATGAAGGTCATGTCCTGGAATGTTTGTGGATCTTCATCTTGTATTTCGGAACCATGATGCATCAATACTTTAGCTTCTTGCTCAATGTCTGATTCGTGCGTGGTTTGGTTCACGCCCAGTGTGTGTTCAGGCTCAGTGATGGTCGAGGATAGGCTCGAACCTATTTCCAACAAGTTCAAAAGCCCTTAAAACCTCTCACAGGGAGCCTATGATACATGCAGAGATTCTGT